CCCCAGGCTGGAGTGCAATGGTGTGATCTCAGCTGACTGCAACCTCTGCCTCCCAGGTTCAAGTGATTCTCCTGCCTCAGCCTCCCAAGTAGCTGGGATTACAGGTGCCCATCACCACACCCAGCTACTTTTTTGTATTTTTTGTAGAGACAGGGTTTCACTATGTTGTCCAGGCTGGTCTCAAACTCCTGACCTCAGCTGATCTACCTGCCTCTGCCTCCCAAAGTTCTGGGATTACAGGCATGAACCACCATGCCCCCGATTGTCCTTTTTTTTTTTTTTCCAGATACGGAGTCTTGCTCTGTCACCAGGCTGGAGTGCAGTGGTGCGATCTCAGCTCACTGCGACTTCTGCCTCCCGGGTTCAAGCGATTCTTCTGCCATAGTCTCCCAAGCAGCTGAGATTATAGGCGCACCACCACGCCCAGCTAATTTTTGTATTATTAGTAGATATTGGCCAGGCTAGCCTCGAACCCTTGACCTCGTGATCTGCCTGCCTCAGCCTCCCAAAGTACTGGGATTACAGGGCTGAGCCACCATGCCTGGCCCCCTATTGTCTTATCATGGTACCTCACACTGTGAGCTTTTTTGCACTAGATGTCCTGAGAGAGCCTTTTTGGTTTTTTTCAGGCAGAGTTTCACTCTTGTCACCCAGGTTGGAGTGCAATGGCGTGCAGTCTTGGCTCACTGCAATCTCCACCTCCCAGGTTCAAGCAAGTCTCCTGTCTCAGCCTCCTGAGTAGCTGGGATTATAGTCAAACACCAACACACCTGGCTAATTTTTGTATTTTTATAGAGACACTGTTTCACCATCTTGGTCAGGCTGGTCTTGAATGCCTGACCTTGTGATCCACCCACCTTGGCCTCCCAAAGTGCTGAGATTACAGGTGAGCCACTGCACCTGATGAGAGAGCCTTTAAGAAAATTGAGCAGATAGATTTGGGAACTTCTGTAGAATACAGATTATAGCCCTTTCTGGAGATGAATCGTACATGTTACTATTTTAGAAGCTCAGAAAAGTTGTGGAGAGAAGTCTTCCTAGCCTTTTAAACTTGGCATTTTCTAATCTCATTTGACTCTATAGGGTAAGGTAGTGCCTCGATGATGCTGTGATGAGGCTTCTAATGAATTAACATGTGCGAAGCATTTAGGACAGTGCTAAGCAAAATGGGTCCCACAAAGGGGCTGCTGCTGCTGTAAGCCCTTACATCCTTGTGCAGGTATTTATGTGGGAAAGATTCCTAGAAGAGGCATATTCAAAAATTTGATAGGACCAGGTGTGGTGCCTCATGCCTGTAATGCCAGCATTTTAGGAGGCCAAGGCAGGAAGATTGCCTGAGCCCAGGAGTTTGAGACCAGCCCAGGCAACATGGTAAGACCCCATCTCTGAAGAAAAAAAAAAAGCTGATAGATTCTCAGAATTACTTTTCAAAATCTAATCTGCCATGATCTAACAGTTCATTTGCCCAGGAAAGAGATAAGCAGCTGTTTTCCTATACTACATCCTTCTCCCTCTGCACACCATAACTGAAGAGGCAATGGAACATAACTGAAAGTCACCCTCTCTTTGTCTTGCAGGAGTCTGGCCACAGATAAGGGACCAAAATGACTGACTCAAAATATTTCACCACAACCAAGAAAGGTATTATTTGTTTAATAATGTGCCTTGTCCTACGCTTTCTCTGCCTGTCCCTTCTGTTTTCCTCCTGTGGCTATAGGGAGTAGGGGTGGGAATGAAGGCCTGGAAACAGGGCAAGAATGGCCTAGAGCTTCTTGTAGATCTAAAAAATTGAACTGTCGATGATATAAGAAATTGATCGCTCCTTTTAGAGCTCAGAAAGGGAAGAACATTAGCTCCAAGTATGGGAGAAAAAGTGCCCTTTGGTTCCCCATGGCTTAAACTAATTATATTTTTGGCTGGGCACAGTGGCTCACGGCTGTAATCCCAGCACTTTGGGAGGCCGAGGCAGGTGGATCATGAGATCAAGAGATTGAGACCATTCTGGCCAACATGATGAAACCCCTTTCTCTACTAAATATACAAAAATTAGCTGGGCATGGTGGCACACACCTGTAGTCCCAGCTACTCAGGAGGCTGAGGCAGGAGAATCGCTTGAACCTGGGAGGCAGAGGTTTCAGTGAACCAAGATCACACCACTGCACCCCGCCTGGCGACAGAGCGAGAATCCATGTTAAAAAAAAAAAAAAAAAAGTGTTTTTTTTCCAGGGGGAAAAAAACACACAATCCTATCAGCACCCTTGCAGCAGAGTGTGTGTGTGTGTGTGTGTGTGTCTGTGTGTGTGTGTGTGTGTGTGTGTCCATATGTCTGTCCTTATCCAAGGGCACTTTTTTTTTTTTTTTGAGATGGAGTTTCATGCCAGTCACCCAGGCTGGAGTGCAGTGGCGTAATCTTGGCTCACTGCAACCTCTGCCTCCTGGGTTCAAGTGATTCTCCTGCCTCAGCCTCCCGAGTAGCTGGAACTACAGGTGGGTGCCACCACACCCACCACACGCAGCAATTTTTTGAATTTTTAGTAGAGATAGGGTTTCACCATGTTGGCCAGCCTGGTCTCAAACTCCTGACCTCAAGTGATCCACCCACCTTGGCCTCCCAAAGTGCTGGGATTACAGGCATGAGCCACCATGCCCAGCCAGGCATGTATTTTTCATGGTTGTAATCCTGTTTTTCATTTGACATTTTGACATCATCTAAACATTTCCCAACAATTCTAATGACTGCTATTAAGTCCATTGAGTTGCTACACTGAAATTTGCTAAGCTAGGCTTAGAACATTGGGCATTTTGGTTGTTTCTGCTTTTAAGGAAATGGAGGATGTTGTTGTGGCTGACAAATGTGCTTTAACCGTGTAAGCATCTTTCTGACCAGTCCTTCCTTCCTCCCTCCTTCCTTCCAAGTGAGATTGACACACGCCTGCCAACCAGATGAAACGAGTCTGTTACTGGATCAGCTGAGCCAGGACCTGAAGCCTCCCCCTCATCAGGCATTTCAAGTATTGGACTAGCTGGGTTTTTTTCTTCTTTTGAGATCGAGTTTTGCTCTTGTTGCCCAGGCTGGAGTGCAATGGCACCATCTCGGCTCACTGCAACCTCCGCCTCCTGGGTTCAAGTGATTCTCCCACCTCAGCCTCCTGAATAGCTGGGATTACAGGCATGCGCCACCATGCCCAGCTAATTTTGTATTTTTAGTAGAGACGGGGTTTCTCCATGTTGGTCAGGCTGGTCTTCAACTCCCAACCTCAGGTGATCCACCCCCCTCGGCCTCCCAAAGTGCTGGGATTACAAGTGTGAGCCACCGCACCTGGCCAAGTCTAGCTGGTTTTTATTGAGAACCTACCATATGCAGTGGAAGAGAGACAGAGCCTCTGACCTGGTGTTGCTCCAGGTTGAGCAGGAAGGACAGTTTATAGAGTAGTAACCACACTAAAGAATAGTGGGTCCAAGGGGGACCGTGGGAGAATTCTGGGTGGAGCTGGCCAGATAGATGGGGAATAGGAAGGGGAAGGAGTGAGTGCTCTGCCTGTGATACATTCAGGGAAAGGGAAGTAGTGGGCATGAGTTACCGAGGAGGGTGATGCGAGAAGAGGTTAGAGCCAGGCACAGCGGTGCCCCAGGTGGTGCCTTGGGTGGGAGGATTACTTACTTGAGCCCAGGAGTTCGAGTCTAGCCTAGGCAACTAATTAAAAAAAGATAGAAAGCAATGGAGAGGTATGCAGGGATCAGTCCTGTGAAGCCTGGTGAACCACAGGGTGAACTTAGTGCTGAGTATATTGGAGTCTCAGGTGGGTTTTTTCGCTGTTTTTTGTTGTTGTTTTGAGACGTAATTTCACTCTGTCACCCAGGCTGGAGTGCAGTGGCGAGATCTCTGCTCACTGCAACCTCCCAGGTTCAAGCCATTATCCTGCTTCAGCCTCCCAAGTAGCTAGGTCTATAGGCACACCACCATGCCCTGCTAATTTTTGTATTTTAGTTTAGCTGGGACTCCAGGCATGCCACCATACCCCGCTAATTTTTGTATTTTGGGGGTGGGGTTTTTTAGTGGATTTCTTTTGGGAGGAGAGATGTGTGGAGAGAGATGCCTGGCTTCAGTGCCCCAGCCAAAAAGACAAGGAAGTAGGTTCAGGAAAGCAAAGTATTTTCGGTGGGCCAAGCATAGGAGTTTAGAACTTGGGCCTTAGGGCTTTCAGTTTCAGCCCTACCACCTACCGGCTTTGTATATGCATTACTGAGCCTCTCACAGCTTCCATTTGCTCACTGCAGGGAAATGCAGAGTTGTGAGAGTTAATTCCTATAAGAAAATTCTGTGGGAACAAGTTAGCGTGGCACTGACTGGGTTTAGAGAAGGGCTCAAGGTGGCTGGGCATGGTGGCTTATACTTGTAATCCCAGCACTTTGGGAGGCCGAGGCAGGTGGATCACTTGAGGTCAAGAGTTTGAGACCAGCCTGGCCAACATGGTGAAACCCTAGCACTACTAAAATACAAAAATTAGCTGGGCATGGTGGTGTGCGCCTGTAGTTCCAGCTATTTGGGAGGCTGAGGCAGGAAAATTGCTTGAACCTGGGAAGCAGAGGTTGCAATGAGCCGAAATCATACCACTGCACTCCAGCCTGGGCGGCAGAGTGAGACTCCGTCTCAAAAAAAAAAAAGAGAGAGAGAGAGAGAAGGGCTCAGAAAATAACATCTGCCCTGGTAACCTGTTATTGGGATCCTGACTATCTGTCCGTGGCAGGGCCAGACAAGCCTACTTCCTCATTTGTTTTTTTCACATCATCAAATTCTTCAGAACAATTTATTACATGCCTGAGCTCTCATGGAGAAGCTGAATTCCCATTTTCAGAGCTGAGCAACCCCTTGTGTCTCAGGAAGTGAAACCCTGAGCAAGCTGTTTTAATTAGAGGTTTGAAGAAAACAGGAAAGCCCTCCGTGTGGGAATCAACAAACTCTGCCCTCTCCCTGCAAGCCCTAAGTACTCAGGTTCTACTGCACTGAGCCTTTTTAAGGGCCTTTGGCTGAGTGAGGGTAGCTGAGGACAGCTTGCCCTCCACTGGGTTTTTAGCCCTCTGGCTGAGCACAGCCTGCTGTCATGTTTTTGATGCTTTTGTCTTCCTCAGAACCTTTGTAGCTTCCATGGTTCCCGTGGCTTCAATCC